CCCCCCTATTATTTACGGCGTGTGATGTTTTGTAAAATAGATTCCGCCCCGACCATTCCTAAGGACTATTTGTTTTTATTCGACTTCACGTTTGTTTGTCTTATGTGGTCTTCATTGTACTTACCTTAAAATAAATCCATGTTGTTTTTTCTGCTCCAAAGTCTGGCGCATGTGTGTGTGTGTATGTGTTTTTGCACCCTCCCCCCTTCCTTTCCTGGGGCAGAGAAACATGAAACACGTTGGCTTTTAAGCAAAGGAGATTCCCCAGAGACTTAACGGGTATTATTATTATTATTATTATTATTATTCCTAATGTGTTCATGTCACAATTGAATGCCGACAAAATAATGCAGCTGCACAGGGGAACATAGTTTGAAGGCACTTGCTGGCATGGGACTGCTTGGCAAAGACGAGAGGATTTGCCAGCTTGAAGCTCGAGGGAGATTTTTTTTTCCAGGCTCCAGGTTCTGGGAATGAAAACAGTCATTGGGATCCGGGCGAGTCCTGATTAAGACACTTCTTTTACTCCCTTTCTCGCCGGCTCTTTTCAGCAGCCGAGGTGCAGGCCCGATGATGGGCTTTGAGTTTTGCCAGGCAGCCACAGTTTATACCTAAAACGGAACAAAAATGCTGCTGAGAGCACGTCTGTACGTGGCAATACGCGTTCCCCTTTGATTCTGCTCTCATTAGGGACTCCTCTATATTCACAGCAGGGTGCTTTTGCCGCCTTGTCTCTTTGTAATCGTTTCTCTCATCAACTCCCCTCTCCGCTGCGCTGTATTCGCCTTCTGCTTCCCTAGCTCCAGCCCCAGCTCTTATTCTGAATGCCTAAATGACCTCTGAAAGCTACCGCCTTCCCCTTCTTCACAGGGCTTAGCCATCTCTTATAAGGCGCAGCAGGCAAACGGGCTGGAGTTATACAAAAAGGCGATCGCACTCTTTTTTGCATGTTGCCAAGGCATGAAGCAGCATTCAGGATTTTTAAAATGGCCTATTTTTTCCGAGCGTTTTCACCATGGGCTTGTTTGGGTTTTTTTTTTTTGCTTGCAGTAAGTTTGTGTAGTATTAGATTAGTCCCCCCCGCAATTGTATTTGCTGGTACAGATTGCCAAGAAGCGTGCGGTGCTTTATTATTATTATTATTATTATTATTATTATTATTATTATTATTATTATTATTATTATTGCCCCGGTGAAGAGGAGAATATAATGCATCGCTCCTGAAAGGACAAATCCTGCTGTCTCCCACCCTGAATCTGTTGGGGTGAAAGGGTAACCAGAGGGATGGCTGGAAATGATATTATTAGTCGTGGGCATATTACCCCAATTGTTTTTCATCTGGCTTTATTCCGGCCGAAGACACTGATGCTCTTGATGGCCGAGGGGGGGGAACAGGCCAGGAGTTGCGTTTTAAACAACACGCTCATAAACTTTTCGGCCATGTTGCCAGCCTCTTTAGTCAGTCTTGGCTCTTAATAACAAGCCCAAGGAGACTTTTAAAGAGAAAAGGGAGGGGGGGAGGAGGGATCAGATACCGTGAGATCTAATTTTTTTCCCCCCTCGTTGGTCTTGTGCAGATTTTTTGCTAATAGATCCCCCCTCCCCCCCAACCCCTTTTCATCTGAGAAGCCGCTAGCTGGGAATCAGGTGCTGGAGCTCGGAGCTCACTCAAGGTGCGGGGCTGATGGGTTGCGGGGTGCCATTGTGCGTGTGTGTGTGTGAGAGAAAGCAAAGCATAGCCCTAGCAGGTCAAAATGCCCCTTTTCCAGCTCGGGTTCCTTGCTGGAGCCAGTGGCTTGTGTCCTTTCCCCTATGCACCATCTCACGGGTGCAGGGCACAGGTGATGGCACCTCCTGCTCTTGCTTGGATGCTGGGCAGCGTTGGTAGCTGTTGGTTTTTAGAGCCAGTGTGGAGCGGGGTGGACAGCAGGCAGCAGCCCCCAGTTTCAAGCGGCTGCCTCCGTTCTGCACTAGTCCCAGGCTTGTCTGGGTAGAATGTCGCATCCCAGCCGCTTTGTGCTAATGCCCCCCCGCAGCAGCTTCCAGCCCCAGCCGGGGGCTCTCGGCCGGGCAGCACTCGCTCTGTTTTGCTGGACAGTTCCAAGGGGACAGAGGACACCGCGGTGGGAGAGCAGGACACGGAGCCTGCCTGTGGGCCACGCTCCCTTGCCCCATGCCCAGCTGCTCCCTCCTCTGTCCGAGCCTCGAGCTGCTTTGCAGGCGCGGTCAGGATTTCCCGGACTGGGCTAGATCATCAAGGAAAGCGCATCCCCAAAGGACCACGATGCTGATTACAATCCAGCACGTTAATCGCTCATCCCTGATTTCGAGTCGTGGGCTGGGGATGCCGCTCCTGCATCTGGTGCGGGGCAAAGTGGCGTTAGCGTAAGGCAAGAATCCGTCGGCTCCCAGCGTTTTCCCTCCCCACCAGCCCTGCCGCAAGGCTCTGGCTCTGAACATCGCTAAGGGAGGGGAGAATAAACCTTGAATTCCCTAGGAGATGGTAGCAGCGGTCGGGGCCCAGGATAAAGCTTGCAATCCAAGAGAGCTGGAAACGCTGGTTTTTGCGCGCTCATGTTGCACTCCCTGGCGCGCGCAACCCCAGAAGGGCTGTGTGCATTTGCACTGAGAGAGCTGGAAGGATGCTAATAAAACAACAAAGACGGCTGCCTGTGCCATTTGCCAAGGGAAGATTTAGGTCAAGAGGCGCGTTACTGGGCTGAACAACGTCCCTGGGAAGGAGGGTGAAGCCCAGGCCTCCAGCACAGAGGGTTTGGGTGCGAAGGATGCAACTGTCTCTGTCCGACTTTCCCCTCCCAACGATCCCCTTTTCTTCCCCGCCTCCCTTTGCAAGCCTTATTTATTTTTGAACCGCTGCCTTTTGCCAATCCTCGAGCACACAACAGGCTTCCCTGTTTCTTCCAGATTTCTTTTTTTGTTGTTAGGGCCAGGAAAGATCCCAGCGTAGATTGCAGTCACGTAGAGAAGCTAGTCTTTGCATCTGCAGACACACGATTGAAAGAGAACAAGAGCTTCTCGGAAAAGCTGGTCCCCCGTCCCCTTCCCCAGCTTCCCATGTTGTGGGCTGCTCTTCCCGGTAATGTTTGCTGCAAAGCGCCGTTTAGTCCAGATTTGAGTGAAAAGTGAAGGAGGGAGATGATTTTTGGATTGGAAAGGGGGTGGGAGGTTGCTCTTGTCCTTTGCTGCTCAAGACAGGTGGCTCAGACACCAGGCAGGCAATCCGCAGGGCCGTGGTAAAACTAGCACCGGTTAAACGCTTTAAACTGGCCGGTCCCTTAATCCGGATTCTTGCACACACGTCCCTCCTCCCTCCAGGACATGGGACATGGTGAGTTTTAGGGGGTGTTTGACTCGCCAGTCGATGCCCGGGGGCAGGAGACAAGGGCGTGCTCCTGCCGCAATGAAATCCGTGCGATTTTGGTTGCTGGTACCCCGGGGGCAACGGGGTCGAGTGCCAGGGATTTTAAATTGAGGTTTCCAGGATTTTGCCAGCCCCCCCGCTCCTCTCAAATACCCCTCCCCTTTCCTTTATGCAGCCACGTCACCTGCTCGGGGCAGGCTCGGAAAGGGGCAGAGCCAGTCCCTTGCAGGATCGGGGCCTTTCGTGGGTCGGATCCCCGGGGCTGCGCATCCCGCCTGCCCTGGCCCCAGCTGCGGCTCGGGGATTAGTCACACAAACCAAGGGGGAGAAAAATCCCTTGTCCAAAATCAGCTGGGCTCCGCCTCTGGGTTTCCTGCCAATGCAGCCGACGGGCGAGGGCTTTGCCTGGGAAATCCAAACCCACCTGGGGACACCCCGGGCAGATCCGGACCCCCTGGCTCCCCTCTGAGCATCCTCGCTGCCAGCCGCAGCAGGACGGGAGGGCTGGCAGCTTCTCCCCACACCTCGCTGTGTTTTGCTTTTTAGGCTGTGGAGAGGCAATGCGGCTGAGGCTGGGGGAGGCAATGCCGTGGGGATGAGGGGAAAGGGGCTCTTGAAGGCGAGCCTTGCACCTGCCCTGGCAGCACGAAAAGCCCCTTTGCAGGAGGGGTGAGGGTGGCACAGAGTGGGCGACGATCCCTTAGCCAGCCGTCCAGGCCTATGGTAACGGGACCCGGCCAGCTTGGGTGCTGAGCACTAGACCCTGATCCCGGGCACTTGGCTTGGGAAGCCTCCAGGTGGATTTTTTTGGCGGGAGGCGCTTTGTTTTTAGACCCCTGCATCTTTAGACACCCGTTGTGGTCACAGCCCGGTGTTTCACATCGCGTCAGGCCTCTGTGCCCCCAGCTTGCCATCACCTCGAGGGAGCACGAGCCGCTTCTCTAAGCGCATCTTCCCTCCTCATTTCCTTCTCCCTCGCCTGGTGGGCAGCCAGCCCCCGAGCCGCCCCCTTGCAGGGACCCGAGCCCCGGGGAGCCAGGAGATATCCCCTCCATCCCTTAGAGATCCCCAAACGACGCCTATATCCCAACTGCACATGTTCATGCATGTGTGTGTAAGCTGTGCTATGCTTTATTTTACAATAC